GAATCTGTATTATCGTGATAACTCCCAGGAAAGCAGCTGTGTAAACTGGAATCCTTTGAGACACAGTTTTATGATATCAGGCCAGAAGCCAGAAAAGGCCCTTAGGCCTGTCGATGCCTGTCCTAACACCCATGCATGCCTTTATTACCATTTTTTATAGTGAATCCCTAGTCTCCAGGAGTTGGGAAGAGCTTGATGTGCTGTGAGGAGCGCTGCCCGCCCACAGCGCTCGTGGAGCTGCAGGCCGCGGGTTAGGCCGGGGAGGGCCCGAGCCCCGTGAGTGACTGATTGATAATCAGACAAATTGTGCCCGGTGACACGGAGCCGACGAGGCGAGCGGCTCCTGGCCAGCGCGGTGCTCGAGGGATTCCTGTGGCGCCGGGGCCTTGGCGCCCTCCGTGCTCCGGCCGTGCTCAGCAGCCTCCACCAGGGAAGTCCCTGGGACGAGGAGCCTCCCTCAGCGCTCCTCTTCGCGGGCTGCAGCGAGCACAGACAGGGGCCTGCGCGTGTGCCCTCCTGCTTCTGTCACTGCACCCGAGGAGCCCATTTCTATACACTGGTGCTACACTGAACCTTTTCTGTGCAAAATACTGCTAGTGATCCAAACAAAACCCCAAAGCGAGTACGTGTACTTTGGGGAACTTGGCTCCAATGCAAGATTATTCCTCACTGCTCTGTGCTAGATCCCTATGTAGCCCACTCGAGCTGGCTTAACTGCAACACCACCAAAATTCCATCCCAAAATTTTCTATATTCATTAATTTTGACAAGCATGCAAATAGCAAGGATTTGTTTGGCATGTATTGAAACAGCAAATTTCTGCAATAGTAAGAAAACTTCTCTTGAAATAATGTTTTTTTTACAATTTCTTTTTCTAAGAATTTTGGCCTCAATACCGTTAACTTCCAGGAGAAGTTAACTGGTCTGTTCGCTTTTTCATCTTTTGTTGTCTTAGTTTTCTTCAGTCCTGCATTCACTTCAATAAGTATAATGCCACTGGGAAAAAGCCTTTCAATTTCAGTTTGTAGATTGTGTGAGGGACTAGATGGGGATTTCTATTTATTTATTTTTTTATCTGGTTGTTTGCTTATTTAAAGTCTTGAGGAACAAGAAATAAAGCTTAAAGAAACTGCAATATACTTTGATCCATCTTCTTTTGTAAGCACATTAATTGCTGCAGTAAAGAAGGTCTTGGTGGTTTGTCCAAGACGAATGTGGCCTGTGCTACTGCACATTGTTTTCTGTGACCATATAACCCAAAAGGATAGACAGTTTCAACTCCAGTCTCTTTTAGTTAGATAGTAAAAAATGGTGTCTCCTCTGGAAGTCATGTTTTGCAAGGGAAAGGAATAGGTGGAGCTCTTCATCTCTATTCTTAGAAAGCAAGACGACCCTAAGATGTGGAAGAAAGCAGTGGGTTGCTAGAGATTTGTCCAGCGGTTGAATTGTTGCAGTATCAAGCAGTCTGCCAGGAAAGGTAACTGCCAGCATGAGCTGAAATCCATTACTCCAGTTTTCACTCATTAGAGACAGTTGCGGTGTCCAGCAGAGTGTCTTGGGCCCACTCTGCCTTTGAGCACTGCTGCTTTCCTGGGCAGTACAGTGCGTCCCTGCGTGGGACATGCACCTTGTTTTGCACTCTGCTGGCTTGGTTTGCTGCATGCTGTGCTATTTCTGTGTAAGGTGAGCTCATGCAGGTAAGCCCAGTATAAGCTTGGGAAAGTTAACATCTGTTTTTCCTGTGAGCTTTTAGTATCTGTTCATGGAACACCATTTTCTGGAAAGCAAAAGAAGTCAACCTGGTAGGAGTTCAGGGAGGCAGGCGAAGCATCATGGATGAATTCTGAACTTCTGTTAACTGGATTTTTTCTACCGTAGGTCTCAACAAATGGCAGCATTTTACATGCGACTGATGGGTCCTGCTGCTCTCTTACAGTGTCAGAGAAAGCACTGGATTCAGATGGGGGCACTGAAGTTATCAGTGAAATTGGCAGGTCTGCCTGGTTTACACCCTGCCTTAAGTAAAGGGGCACTATTATCAAGTAATCATATGCAAAGCAGGTTAGGAAAGAGGTGATAAGCTACCTGGTATTTTATTCCCCCCATCCCTTTTTTTTTTTTTGAGGACTTCAAATATAGCCTGTTCTCCCTGACCTAACCTGAGGTCAGGATTGACATGTATTCTCTTGAAAAGAATCACAATAAATTTATTTTTAGACTTGCTTATTAAATTTTGTATTGCATTATCAGATTAAACACCATGACAGTTATAATGTAAAGGCCAAATTGAACGATTTTAAAATAAGGTTGTGTACCTTAAACCAGCAATCCTCAAACGTGTGTGGATCGCATCTTCACAGGAAGCCTCTTGTGAGCAGTTCATCCATTGCCTGTGATTGTAGGCCCTGCCGTTGTACTTCTCTTAATGAAACTTAGCAGATAAAGCAAGGAGAGTTGAGCAGTAACATCTCGAGGAGCAGCTCCCACTGTAGTTAGGGAGTCACCGCTCTGAGAAAATGAAGCTGTTCTTCTTTTTCCCCCACCCTCTTTTTCCTTTCCAAAGCCTTGATTAGAGGGGAGTACCTATATTTAGGTTAAAACTTAATATATGTGCTAAACTTTAAATGTACACCAAATATAATGGGATTCAAAGCACAGACAGATACTTAAGATTATTGGGAATTTGAGCCTAGATGTGTATTTATTTCTTAGACTTCATATGGATGCATGCATGTCTTTATATCTTTTTTTGTTGGGTAGGAAACAGGACAGTGAGAAGAACTTAAATTTATTGTAGATGCAGTTTGATTTACATGAAGAATTCATTATTTTTACTTTTCAGTATGAGCATGAAAGGATTTGATCCAGTACTGTTCTGTTGGATTAGGTTTGGGATGAGATATTAGACACGTATTGGGTTTGGTTTTTATAATCTGAGATTTGTTGCTAGTAGACTTTCACGGCGAACATGTCTAGTAATGTTCCTGGAGCCACTCAAGTGGGTGTCTAACCTTCAACAGGAGAAGCTGCCTAGTACTAAATAAGGGTATTCTGGAATCTTTCCATGAAAAGAATCAGCAAGTTGCACAAAGACAGAGGAAGCAGCTTGTTTAGTAACATGAGTGCCATGTTTGTCAGGATCAGATTTTGCCCGGTGCTGGTTCTGAAAAGCACCGTGGCTGTTTCAGCTGCTGCGTTGTTAGTGGATGTGTGAAACAAGAAGCCTCATCCCTTCCGAATGGGAAACGCTCGCGATGGGTGACGGCGCAGTTAGACAAGCCAGGGCTGTGCTCAAGGGTGGGTCGTTGAACCAGTTTCTTGTCTTGCTTCTTCCTTTGCGGCCCACAGAAGTTTGCCAGCTAAACATTGCATCCCTGAGGCCTGAATTTGGGAAGGAGCGTGTTTGAGCATCCTGGCTCAACTGTCATTGTACCTTTTTTAGGATTTCCAATGTGTCTGAGCAGAGTTGCATCCTGTGACATACAATAAAAGCTTCTCTTTGCAAGACTTCATGGATATACAACGCTAACTTAATATTAGTCTTATTTTGGAGAATCCTGTATTGACCGTATGATTTAATGACCAATATTGGAAGTTTTGCAGTCTGGAATACTGTTGGTTTATTTACCTGCACCAACAGTAAGTGCTGCTTAATACAAAAAAATATGGTAGTTCATCAGGCGTGGAACTTTGTGTGGCCTCCTTCTCCTTAGAGAGGTTCTGCACGTTTATATTCTGCATCTCAGAATGGAACATAATTAAAAAGGGACTTTGTTATATAGGAATCCTGCGTATCGTCCCCAAATGAGGGTCCATTGGGTATTAAACAAATGCCTGTGTGGTTCTTTAACTTGGACTCTGTGTGGCAAATAGGCCCGTCTTTGCCTGGATCTGTTAAATTTCATAGTTACCTCTCCTTTTCTCCATAGCAAGTTTCCTAACATTTCATTCTTGTTTTAAATATTTCTACTCCATTATATAAGATAAAAAATGAAATATTTTTTTCCATGTTCCATGTTGTCCTTTGTGAGCAACATGAGCCCAGGGATTTGCTCCTTCTCTTCCTGGCTCCCTTTGTGTTAGTGCTATTTTCACAAACTTTTCTACTTCTCATTTTTTATCTAGTTTGGTTAATATTCAAGATGGTTGTTCATTTAGAAGGAACTTTGGGATTTTCATGTCCATGTTCTGAATCTCTTATTTTAATTGTGCTGTTAGTCCCAGTGCTTTGGCAGTGCTGAAAAATGTGCATCTGCTGCTGGAGAAACATTGGCAGTTTAAGCTTCACAGAATTGTGAAAGGAATCAGTGCAAGGCTGCTTGGAACTTGTTTTGCCCCCCCCCTTTTTTTTTCAGCTAAGGGTTTGGACCAGGTGAGCCCTGGTGGTCTTCTCCAACTTGTATTGGTCTTTAACTGCGGTTTTTAGTGTTGCAGATGGCAAGTCAGTGCAATGCTAAGGGTTACTGAGTGCTGGTGGTCTCATGGACTGTTTTTATTATTATTTTATAGAGTTGCATGCCAAAAATGGGGAAACGTAAGGAGTATTTGAAAAGGAATGTGATGAGCAGCTCAATGCTGTGCCGCTCCCTTGCGCTCTGTAGGCCTCGCTCGCTGTGGTACCGCTGGGGCTGCCGCTCCAGGGACAGCTTTAGTTTTATATTGCAAAGTGCACGTCACTGTAGAGCCTTTGTATCATCTCCTGCCTTCATTAACTAGCTCCAAGCTACTTAAAAACTTCTCTCGATGCTGAAATGGGGTGAGACATAGCATAGGTTAGCGTGGAAGCTTCTCCAGAAACTCCAGTCAACTGAGGAGCTTTTTCCCTTGTATATGTCTTATAATGTAAATGTTTTCTTTTTTCCCTTTCGCATCTGCACCCAATGCACAAAACTGAATAGGTGAACCGGTAGCTTTTTTGACCATCACAGATTCTGTTTTCCTACTTTTGCAGTATGTGCTGGAAGACATGTAACCATTTTCCCTTTCTCTCCCCTTTTCAGCTCAGAGACACTAGTCAACTGCTGTTTTTATGGACCTCACTACACTGCCACGAAGAGCACCAGCTCATCAGGACTGAAAGAATCTGAGACTGAACTTGTCCTATTTTCCTCTGAAATCTTCACCAAGTAGTAAACATTTTTTTGAAGGGGACGGCGGGGAGTATGTTAAGGCATCCCCTCACACCCTGTTAGGGCACCTGTACCTAATGTACATTTTCTTTAAAATTTAAAAAGATGTTAGGAAATATTTTATAAAACTTTTTTGCAATAAATGACGCATGAAATATTAAAGACTATATGACACTTACATGCAAGGAACCACTTGAATTATTAGTATGAAGAATCACTGCAAATAAATGGGTTTTTTTTTGTAATGTGACAGTCACGTTTGTATGTTTTGATAGGTGCCAGTGTGGAGCCAATTGCCTGGGAAGCTGACTGTAACTTCTGAACTTTTATTTTAATTCTTGACTTTAGCATTGCAATTTTCCATTCTATGAGGCTTAGTTAGTATTTAGTGCAGGTGTTAGAAGAGCTGTGACCTGTGATCAAAAGCATGTCCAAAACCAGTTGTATTGTAAAATATGAACAGTCCTGCTATATGAGACCAATATTTCCCACAGAGGTGATGGAAAGGACAGTGACCACAAACTCCATTTACCTCTGTGTTATGGGAAAGCTCCTTCTGTGTGAATATGGTTGCATTTTATTTATGCTATTGTAACACTTAGGGAATTGAGGATTGTGGAAAAACATTGAGGGCTACAACACAGAGAGTAGCATTTTGCTTATGATACTATAACAAGATGAGAATCATGAATGGACAGGGATTAAGTGGAATGGCATTTCTCTTTCCAATCATGGGTTAATTTTTCCTTTTGGCATAACTTTTTCAGATAGGGAACTAGGAGAACAAAGGTTTTATTAGTGTTTCTGATGGTTGATCTGAGTTGCATTGACTTCTTTGAATAGCTGTAAATCAAAATGAGAGAGCCAGTGGGTTTTATCCATGTAATTGCCCTCCCCCAAAAGTTATTTTGTAATGCTTATTTCAGTGGACCTAGTAAATGCTGGACACACTGTTAAAATACTGAGTTATTAAATATTAATTTATTTGCCACTGATTATTTGACAGTGTGCACACTTTCCAGCAGTATCACTTCTTACAATAAATTCCCTGCTGAGATCATAATCTGGAAAATAATACTTGTTTGAAAGAAATGAAAAAGTGCACGTGATCTAACAAAAGTCAGGTTTTTGTTTCTTTAGGAGTAGAAAGACTTGTACTACACTCTTTTTGTCCTTACTAATATCCTGATTCAACTGGAGAAAGCAAAGTGTCTTTGGCCAGATCATGTAAAACAAGGTACCTTTCTGGAGGTATGTGCCAGCACAAAGACAATTTAAAATCCTTTATTTATGGAGCTTGAATTAAGAAACCTCACATCTGAAGTTAGGACAAGTCTGCTGTATGAACCTGTTGCCAGGTTCAAATGGCAGTTTTTTAAATTATGGCAGAGGAGAGAAGTGAGAGGCTGGAAGGTGGTGGACAGAGATCCGAGTGCAGGGAAGGCTGTCAGCAATACCTGCACACTGACGCAGTTCAGTCTTGGTATTGATTAAATTTCTTTTTTTTTTTAGAGGTAATTTCTTTATTTATAAAATCAGAAATTGAATCCTGCCTATTTCTTAAAAACAGTTGTTTAATTCTGTACAGTAGGTTCACATTGTACCTTTTTTGGTAATAAATACTTTTTTTTTTTTAGATTATTTGTTCTACAGCGCTCTTCCTTCTCACCGTAGTAAGGAGAGCATCAGCAGTCTGGTCCTGCCCATGGCCTGCGATTTGACTAGAATTTAGAGAGAGTGGGACAGTTGATTTGAGGAAAAGGGCAGTGGGTTGGTGTAGCGAGCTGGTGTCTAGCCTTTTACCTCTGGGGACCAAACCCCAATTGCAGCGATAATGACTTAGGGTCTTGGCCTAATGAATAGAGCTTTTATCCACATACACACACACACACACACACACACACAAGCCACCAAACAACATGGCACAAAACCATTTCTGCTCAGGAAAAAGGCCCAGACTGTACTAGCAGGGTTATTGCACATTGGGATTGAAAAGTGATTGATGTTGTAAGTAGAAGCCAGTAGTGCCTGCCTGACTCTTAAGCATCTGACATCTGACTCTTAAGCAGTGCTCTTGTTCCTCACCTGCATGAGCACTTGTGCACAGCAGCTAAAATATAAAGTACACTTAAGAGAGATGCAGGTCTCTGCATTGGAAAATATGGGTATATAAGCAAATAGCATAAAAATAGACAAGGTAGCTAACTGTATTTGGATTTGTTTTCTGAGAAAGTATTGCAGCCATTTTGTTTGAAACCAGATTTTCATTTTGAAATGAAATTGTCAGGGATATTCTAATGATAGAGAATTACGGTAATGTATTGCTTTTCACTTTTTTTGCTTTAGTTGCTTAATATTTAAGCTTTGCTCCGTGCTACCTTCTTGTCTGTATATTGAATGGTCACTATGCCTCTTTCATTTTGTAGACTTGAATGAGGAAAATATGATTCACCTTTTAAGGTTTGCTGAGAAGTAAATGATAAAGAATGTTGTGTAACATTTATTCAAATAAAGCCTTGATTTTTTTCAGTGCTCTTTTAAAGGGAAATAATGTTGAATGATTTTATGTTGTACAACTTCCTTGTTTTATTAGTCCTTGACCCACAAGGCTGTGGTTTATGTTTAAAGTTTTTGTTGTGTTTTTTTTTTTTGAATTAAACAGAGATTAAACTGAGGCTTCTAATCCACTGTTGGCAGTGTATCTTCTGGACAAATCTCTGTGCAGCCCTGCATTTCACCACAGTGGCTAAAACACGCGGAGTCCTCAACAAGCCAGGTATTCCCACAAGGAATAGGAAAAAGCTTTCCTTGTTCTTCTCCAGTGAACAGCAAGGAGGGATTCGCTGTGCTCCGTAGAGGCAGGTGCCAAGCAGCCGCGTGCCGCGTGGACGCGGCGCGAGGCCGGGCTGAGGGACGCGAGCGGCTGTGGCGCTGAGGGAGCACAGCCAGGCCGTGCGGACTCGCGTCCCTGCCTCTGCTCCTCGGGCACTTCTCACCTGTGGCATTAGCGGTTCGGACAGGTCTGTCCATGGCAGGTAAGTGTGAGAAGCTGTTTGTCCGTGTAGGTAAGAAATGCCTCGCGCCAAGTGTCTCCTGCTTGTGCCTTACGGCATCGGCCCCAGCGCTGTGGTGGGGAAGGACGAGTCGGGGAATGATTCTTCATGGTTGCTCACAGCAAATATAAAATAGCATTTATATGGATTACTACCAATTACATTTTTATTACTTGAAAGGAAAGGTATCCTAATTTTACTTGAGCCTTAGATTAAACATCAGTTAAATGGCTTACATAAATTTGACTTTGAGGAAGTTTCAAAAAAATTTTTGTCTTTTTTTTTCATGGCATCATGATAGCCAGGAAGTAGCAGCAGATACAGAAATTCCAGCCCTTTTCCAAGTAAGGTTTTTTGTTGCTGTGGTGTGTTGGCAGTAGCCAAAAGTCTTTCCCCAAAACTGAATTACCTTCTGGAGGGGAGTGCCAGAGCACATGTATACAGTCTGCAGCAGCTACAAGCTTGGCGCTTTCATGCTTTCAAAATCAGTTTGATGCTTGTTGTGTCTGTGAGCAGGATCTCCATGCCTGTCTTGTGCTTGGAACAGAGATGCAGCATATTGGGTTTTTCTTTTGCTTTAGAGGTTTGTTTCTTACCCTGGCCGGATTACAGGAACTCCCATTTTCCCTCTCATTATTCGGGCCTTCTTGCAGCCCTTCCTCCTGAATTGGTTCTTCTCATTAGGGTCTGGTGAAGAGGGGGGAAATCCCGCTGCAATGTAATTGCTCACTAATGGCTTTTCCTTTGTGACATTGTGCGGGGCACCCCTGAGTTTGCTGCATGACTATGGCACCCACAAGGCCCCTAACCCCAGGGATTTCAGAGAGCTGCAATTACTCCATTGATTAACCTTCACTCGTAGCTGTAGCGGGGTGATGAAAGCGCAGCACTAATCCAAGCATGGGCCATGAGGCCGGGATGGGGGTGTGTGCCGCCTCCCCCAAGCGCAGGAGGGTGACCACGAGGGCAGAAGCGGCTGAGGCGGGAGCGAGCGAGGGCAGAAGCGGCTGAGGCGGGAGCTTCGTGGTGCCTGGGGCGCGAGGCCCACGCACAGCGGGGGGAGATTTCTTTTCCAGGTGAGGGCAGCGGGCAGGTTCCTTAAGGAAGTGGGTAAATCGGGAAGCAGGAGGTGAGGCAGTAGATTTGGCCGCAGCGTCGTGCTCATTACTGGGCACTGGGCAGTGAGACTGGAGTCCTGTGCCCGGAGCTCCGTCCGCGACCAAGGAAGTGGCGCCAGGGGCTGCTCTCACGTTACCTCCGCACCCCGCGGTGCTGCA